TGTTTAATATGTTTTTTTTTCGATTGATCTCACTTTATGATATGTTTGCATTACCGACTGACTAATGAATTCAGCCTGTAGAAAGACTCATATGGGCATAGACAATGGATTCTCAAAAATGTATTTGTGGTCTCCAGGCAAGCCAAAGTTGGGTGTGCACAGACTCAAGATTCATTGAAAGAACCAAGGGACCTCTCAAGATATTTTGTCAAAGCTCAAGAGCTGGACAATCCATCATAAACACATATATATATATACATATATCACACATGGAATTATGTCGATAAGCTCCGGATTTCCCCAAAAAGATGTAATATCCCAGCCAACCAGCTTGGATTCACTTAAGGATAAACAAAGATATCAGCGAAAGAAGTTGCAAATCCTGCAGGATCTCCTGCAGAAGGGGCGTTGCATCCATTTCACCCCCTTCACATACGCGGTGTCTTTCGAGCGCCTGACAACTCGACCACGGACCAAAGAAGCGTGAACGGGTTGGAGTTTTAGCAACGATGGAATGTGGCTAATGATGGACAGGAATGTTTGAATATAATGTCAACCCCGGATTAATAAACCATGGTTTATTAATTAGGGGGGTGCTCCTCCAATAGTCACAATATGATACATAAATGGTATCCCCCCCAATTAAACAGCCTAGGGCTTTATTAATCCAGGGTTGACATTATAGATATCATTACGGACACTTTTGTGGTTTTTTGGTTAAGTAATAGTTAATGTCAAACACACACATATATTCCTAAGATAAACAGTTCCATCAGAGGGGTATTAATTCTTTTTCCAGGTGGGTCTATCCCTAAAATCTGGTGGCTGGTGTACCCTCTGGTAATTTAACATAGCTATAGAAAATGGACCATACAAATAGATGTTTTACCTATTAAACTGGTGGTTTTCAATAGCTATGTTAATTTACCAGAGGGTATAGTTTAATCTACTGGTTTTGGGGGCAGGGACCATCATTGAAGATGGCCATGCTGTAGAGGGAAGATATTTCTGCTATGTACATCCTGATGGCATGATGACACCGACTGTCTAGCTATATAATTGGAGTTGGGCACTGACAACCATTGTTCAAGAGTGGTACCCTCCGGTCAATGGTTTGCTGGAAAATCCGGCCATTTATACTTGTTTGTCCTGTTAAAACCTCCATCACTAATAGATTTTCCAGCTTGCAGTATTGGAAGTACTTGACCTTGCTGTTGGTTTTCAAAGGTTCTTTCCAATTTTTCAAGGATGCGCTTTTTTTTCAGTGGCAGTTGGGGTGATTGTCCCAGTTGACTGCTTAGGGGATGGTTGAAATTGAGAACCAGTACCGTTCTGACTAGAGTCCGAGTGTATATATGTTACTTGTATTCTGATTAGAGTGATTTCGTGTGTAAGTTCCGGAAAAAATGGGCTGTGTCAACTGGGAAGTGGCATGTTTCCAAGGCTGGGTCGGCCTCTTTTGGGTAGATAAAGTGGTTAATTTCGTTCTAGTATCATACATGTATATCGGTGTGTCTATGTGGGATATACCCCAATCTATGGCCATTCAGGGAAAACGATGATGAACTACAGCATTTTGGTGTACCCTAGTTTTAGACAAGCCCATGTATGTATATGCTTATGCATACAATCATATTATCCCGCTAAGTTTGCGCGCATTTGTTTGCGGAGGTTCTAAGATCACGCATCTACTGGGGATGACTACAGTCCAACGGTATCCCTACCAATCCTTAATCAGCGAGGCTTTATCAATAACGGGTTGACATTATTGTTCATTCCCATGTTTGTTATGCTTCTTTACCGAGGGTAGAACCCTTGACAGCAGACGGTGGACAATCAAAGCTGGCTATAAATATCGGAAAATATGGTGAAATTGCGATGATTGTGAGACAAGTCATTTCATACTGTGAGCCATGAAAGAATATTGTCCGGGTAAACCTTGGTTTGGTGGGCCATTTGATGGACGAGTGTTTTAATGTATTTTGTATCGCGCAGAAAAGGTTCAGAACTTCTTTGGCAGAGTTCCAAATATTGTAATATTGGCCATGATTGTTTTGATTAATATTCTCCATATCCAATAAGATAAAGAATCCTATGAAGATATAAAATTATATCTATGTTTTTTCTCAATTAAAAATCCTTTATATGTTGATTTGATGTTAGTTAATATCATGATACCTCTCCCATTTTGCAGGGGCTTTTTTTCTCAGATTCCATGATCACATCGGTGCACCCAAAGGACTGGTGGTTGATGAACTGGGCACTTCGACATCCGGGACGATCTATCAATCAATATGGGCCTTTTTTAATGGGGGATAGCTTCTAAATGGCCATTGAATAGGGAAAATAATCATGAACCAAGGTAGAAAATGAGGTACAATATTTTCAGACAAACCCATATCATATTCCTGATAGCAGTTGCGAGTGAATCGGATTTCTCGCAGTCATTTCTGCGGTCATGAGGTATCCAGAATTAGTTCTCACAATGCAGTAGCTCCGGCATTTTTTGTCGTGTTTAACTACCCTACACAAGTGCACAAAAAATCTGAAAGATGCATGAATGGTGTAACCACCACTGCACTTGATATTTTGGAAATCTTTGTAAAACGACGTTTGAAACGACCCTTCAGGAGAGCTATTTTATATATACAACCTGGATCCTATAGAGGTCCTATAGACAACAATGAAAAAAAGGCACACACATATTCCAGAGAATGTCTTGGATGTTGTTTAGGCATAATTACTTTGATCCATACTTCCCAAGAATTGTAGCAGATCCAACCTCTCAACAGCTTGCGTGCAACCTACCTGGCCATGGCTTCCATTCAGCGTTTTCTACAAAGACAAGGCAGCGGATCGGTGGATGATTGGAGATAGACGACATCACTTCAATGGTATATACCCTCTGCTAAGCGTTTACATAACTATGGAAAATCACCATTTTTTATTGGTACATCAATTATTTCTATGGCCATTTTGAATAGCAAACTGTTAATTAGTTTACCAGAGGGTATTCAGAAAGATTTGTTGGAGATGTCCTGGCTTATGGGTAAATTGAGGATACCCTCAGGTAAACACAATAGCTAAGGAACATCAGCATGAACGGTAAATTACCCGAGCGTCATTGGTTATTTGCTGGGTAACGCATAAGAACCTGGGATATTCACCAAGAATGGGAGAAAAAGATATGGTGCCGGGTAAACTTATTGGATTGGTGAAACTAGGTTGATGTTTAACAATTTGTATAGATGAGCATTTGATATCCCACATTTAGCTACACTCGCTACGTTGGGTATCTACCGTGTTCCATAGTCACCAGGGTTTGCTTCAGTTTTACTTTCCTTCTGGGAAAACAACCATGTTGTGAGCATAAAAACCACCATGTTCGACTGATTTGGCCAGAATGGGTTTCATGATAGCATTGCTTTACATTGTTTCAATGTACTTCATACTACATCATCATCATCATCATCATCATCATCAATTGCATTCAGTTGCATTCAATCGCATTCAATTGCAATTTCGATGTGGATTTTGTTTCCAACATGAAAGAAGGACTGTGTTGGTAAACTTGATGGGTTTGATTTTCCCTGAAAACAAAACAGACAATGGCAACGTGTCCGAAACACCCCATTCAATTGACTTGACCCTGATGCCAATATATTCCATGTATCTCTGGATGATCCCCCAATTCTGTTCTATGAGTCTCCAATTTTTGCTGCATCCATGTGCATCCTTTTTGTAACTGTTCGTTGGTTTCACCACTTGGTTGGTCCTCCAAATTCTAGGTGCTGAACTCCGAGTGTTTCCTTAGTTAGAGAACTTGATAAATCAACGGCTCACATTTCGGTGCTTTCTTTGAATTTCCAATCGCACATGATAAATACGCGGATAAATAAGGGCCCTTTTCGCGTTTTTTTTTATCATCTCCAACATCACCAATGCCTCTTCTGTCATTCAATTTACCAATTCTTTCCAGACCAGGTCTTTCGAGGTCAGTTTTGGAAAGGCAAGGGAGACTGCGGGCACATTTGGGGTAAACTTCAACCCTGAAGAGTTTCAATGGGAAATGTTCCAACCGATGGTTTAAGGCATGTCTCCAAAAAGTGGGTCTATGTCGGTCTATGTAGTCGGTTTTCTAGCTGAACCGGTGAAATTGAGGAAGTTCAATGCAGCTTCTTTGTTTGCTACAAATGTGGCTATATGATCTACGGTGTTCGATCGGCCACAGACTTCGGAAGGTCCAATCCGCCGGAAAAACTGCTGCATGACACCATATGCTTGGTTATGTTATATTGATGGCTATATGGGTTTGTCTGAAAATAGATCACTTTTCCCCAGTAGAATTTAGCCATTCAGAGGTTGCTTCCCATTTTCAGACACACCAATATTTTGTTAGGGATACTTAATTGAGGGAAGAAACCTTAAGCTGATAAGCTGTTTCTGGATCTCGAGGTGATGATTGCCAAGGTGGTACTGGAGACAGTTTCAAGTTTTTCCCTGCTCTCTTTTGAGAAAAGAACATGCCAATTTGGTCAATTTTTTATCCAACTTACATGTTGCACAATATAAAAAAGGGAACATCAACTGCATGCAACCGCGCGGAATTCTACAGTTCATTTGCAGAGATCAAGATCTAAGGCTGAAATGCATTGTCCACCTAACGCATTGGCAGCACAGCAGAGCACCCGTCAACCAAAGAGGCGGCGGACATCCAGTGTGATTGGGTTTCGATTCGAGCATATTCCATGCTATTCCGATATGTTCGTTTCTGGAACATGCCCTTCATGGGTTGTGCAATAGTGTTCTGCTGGCTAAATCTTCACCCCTGTTCTGAAGAGAGTATTGTCAGCTTCCAAACCAGTTCTAAACTGTACCACACCTCAGTTGAGAGAAACATTCCAATCATTGGTCAATCGTCGGTTAGATCCCCCATTAATATCCCATCAAACTCATTCAATATTGAGATGTGTATCCCATTTTGTCCGTGGATATCGCAGAAATCGCAGCCATGGTGCGCTAAACCTTCGCCATGGGCGGCATTTGGGAGGTGCTTCATTCGGCACGGTGCGCGAAACCCTGGTTGAATGTATTGGATTTATTCTATTCATGTTCAGGGCGTTTCAGGGTTATCTATTTTAGAGGGATGAGATTGATTCACAACCTAAGAGATCGCCATGTTCATCACTATGTACTCGTATGTGTAATATAGTTACCAAAACAGACAGCAATATGTCATCCTCATAGAGAGGCATTGCCATATTGCCATGGTCACAACAGCTCCATTCTTGCCATGGTCACGACTGCATTTCGTTGTCTACATAGATTGGATTTAGCACGGGTACTGGGAAAACCTGTTTTGGGCTTTGGGCTGTTTCCTGTGAAACATATCAGGAGCAGTATCACACCCAACTTGAATTAGTATTAGCATGTATTAGCTGTAGTTGTAGATTTCCTCATCGTCTTCATTTTTGCAGGGTATCCATCATTAGCCATAATTTAAAACTCAAGCATCAAATGTCTCATCACAAGAGGGTATTAGCACCAATATCCTGCTAGTCCTTATCAACCATTGTTCACAATGCTAGTCCTTCTCAGAATATTATCATTAACGTTGTTGATAATGGGTAGGCCAACCGCTATCAAGATCATGATGATTATGAACCATTACTAACAATGACAATGGTACAACTATTACCACTAAGCATTCTTGGTTGATTTTATTCACCATTATGAACAAGTTCGACCATTCTTCACCAGTGGATTTGGAGATACCCTATTCCCAGGCAAAGCCATGGTTGATCATCCTAATATACATGATGAACAATGATGATCATTATCAATGATCAAAAACAATAATAACAAGCTATCGTATTATTGACGATTATTATAGTCAGATTTTAATGGCAGTAATAATTATCCAATAAGATATGATTAATTATTTGTTAACCATGATCAATCATCATTATGAACCGCTGATATATCATCATTGTCAACCATGTTATCCGCATTATTATCAATCAATGGTCAATATGATATTGTATCAATAATGGTCAATATAACCCTATTATCAATGTTAAAACCACTAGTATTATCAATCAACCGTAAATCAATATTATAGCCATCAATCATTATTAATAATACCAATGTAGCCATATTATTGATTATATATATAATATTGACCATTGATAACCATATTATTGATTATAACCAGCATTATCAATTATCAACATTATAACCATATCATATTATGATGAAGATGATCAAATTTATCAATATTTCATCCATTATTATTATCAATCAACGGTCAATTAATGATGAATGAATATTGATATATGGTTACAGTCCGACCTGCGTCTTTCACGTTCCCAGGTGGTGGGAGGCGAAGAGAAAGGTGGCGTCATCGTGCGCACGGTGCGACCGGCAGGTTTTCGGAACGGAGATGGTGAAATTGCATGGGTTTAGTTATGTTGAGTTGCTTGGATAAGTACAAGTTGGTTTGTAGATCTTTAGAGCTACACTTAATTCTTGGGTTTTATAGCAATATCTCTACAGCTGGGATGCAGAAACCAACTTTTTTGTATTGGGGTCGGGCCACCTGCTAGTTTGAAAGCAGCCAAAATACGGATGAGATTCAACTGATCAGCAATTGTCATAGATTAGAATCGTCCATTTGGCCATTGAACTTACTCACTGATGGCTATCATCGAGACCCACTTTTGTTGACCGTGAATTTTCCCAGTCAAAAAAGTTGGCTGATTATCAGCTGTTCCTAAGTGGTAATGAAACATGGATGGAACAATTCCAGAAAAATCTATGATGTTTTTTCCAGTTCAATGATTTATGATGATTTTTCCTCATTAAGTGGGATTTTCCCATCAAAACCTCCATGTTTTATGACCAGCTGTCGGTCCTTCAGGACGGCCTAGCTGACTCCACCGTGGGAAGGCTCAGCACAGGTACCTCTGGTGGGGCGCTGACTAGTTGGGACAGCATTTGGGAACTCTATATTGGGTTGGCTTATAGGACAGTCCCAAAAAGACAGAACAACTAGAGTGTGCCAGAATTTTACATACCCTCTGGTTATTTAACATAGCCATGGTATAGATGGCCCATAGAAATAGATGGTTTACCTATTAATAGCGTGGTGATTTTCCGTGGCGAACTGTTAGTCATAACCAGATGGTAGTAGGAGTCTACTTTTCGGAATCTTTTTTGAATGATACATGGATAGAAGTGGGGCTGAAAAAAAATTGCAAAATTGAAGTTTCCAGAATGACTTTGACTTGGGCTTGTCTCAAGCATTGCTTGCCATTCGTATCAATTGGTCATTGGCCATTGTGAACTATTAGTAACAACAGTTTATTATTATTTACCATTATTTAACAAGTATTCACAAGTATTAATCTTCTATTTCCTTCTATGAACTATGGTAAACCGTTATTCACCACTATCAACATTTCTTTACCAGTGCATTAACAATTATTTAAATTAAACGCCCTTACTCTAAATTAAACGCTCTTACTCATCAATTAACCAGCAATTAACCATTATTCACAATTATTTGCATGTTTTTCCATGATTTACAATTATTTGACACTATGAACCTTACTATTCACTATATTAAGCACAACTATTAACAACTAGTTAACCACTATTAACAACTATTTATTTATGTTTAACACTGGTTTTCCTCATGCTTCAGGCGCATATGTCGAAGAGTTGGGTCGCGAAGCGCAGCGCGGCGTGCGCTTCCGGCGGCTCTGCGGCTTGGGGCCGCAGGAAGGGTGGCTCAAGGCGCCTGGGGAGCAAGGTACTTAGATGGGCCCTGGTATTACTTAAGTGGTTAGTAATTGATATTCATCAAACTGGTTAGTAATGGGTTAGTAATGGTTATTACTTAGTGGTTATCTAGATTTTGACTGGTTAGATCATGGCTGGTTATTTACTTACCCGGTGGTTATTTAACATAGCTACGGAAAATCACCATCTTCAAGTCCGGTAAATCATCTATAAATGGGCCATTTAGTGATATTCCATAGTTAGTTTAACTGGTTGGTGGTTTCAAACCTGAATTTTATTTTCCATAATATATGGGATGTTATCCTTCCCACTGACTAATATTTTTCAAGATGGTTAAAACCACCAACCAGTATTACTCAAGTGGTTAGATAGTGGATGTTAATGGATTATCATCCAGTTACTAACTAGTTAAATAGTCCCATGGCCCATAATTAAAAGTAGTGCCCCAGATCGCAATGGCTAAGTTGGGGATATAACATGATATGGGGGTTTCCATAAATGGGGGTACCCCAATAGCTGGATGGTTTGTTTCATGGAAAATCCGAAAATAAAATGGATGATTGATGGGTACCCCCACTTTAGGAAACTTCCATGTAACTTTAGTTCTACCTGCCATATCATGTTATTAAATCACGCCAATTACATGGCTAATATCCCAGTGAAATATATTAGCCATGTTAGGCATAACAGATCTAACATGGTATATCGGCTAATATACGTAGTTATACCATATACCAGAAAGCCTAGTGAAACTAACATAGTAGTATAACCATGGGCAACATAGGAACTATATATTACTATAGTGACGACTACTATATACTTACTATATAGTTAATTACTATGGTAGATATATTGAACTATATAAACCAACTATTACTACTATATGTTACTATATGTTACTATGGGTTATCAACCAACAAACATAACTCGGGGGTCACCTCGTTGAGGGGACGCTGTGGGATGCAAAATTGGGGCCTGGCGAATGATGGTCATGATGTAATAGTGGATTTTGGGTCAGAGATGGTGATAAGGATGGTTAATCCTCTCCCCCCCATACTAAACCCCGGCCCCCCCCAATAATAAACACCTCAGGTAGTTTTGATTATTAGGGGGTATTTATTGTTAGGCTTCCCCCTAATATTGAATTTAAAACGCTAATATAACAAACTATGCTGTTCTATTTCAAAATCGATTAGATTTCCTTTTAGAATCTAGTTGGAATACTGCCAAAAATTGGATTTCGAAGCTTTCCCCTAATATTAAAATAAATACCTTAATGTAAAATACTTTTTTTGCGACCTTAAAATACAGACCCTAATAGAAAAAACACCCTGGGGTTGACTACTTTTATAATTAAGGGGTGAAACCCTGAAATGGTAGCTTCATGTTTAAATTGTGTTCTAAAGGGGATCAATTAAAGATCAAATTGGCCAACCTCAAACTTTCCAAAATTGGAGACGGACCCTAGTTTTTGTTATTTGGGGGAGGGTTTAGTAATAGGGGGAAGGGATTAAGCATGTTACTATTGGTTTTCATATAATGGGATATCAACGATATTGGGTATGAAACCAACCATTTGATGGGAATATCATGGGATATATCATAGTTGGATATAAGATGGGATTCAAGCCGCAAGCATTAAAAAACATCCAGGGAAAAAGGGATCGGTACGTCGGTCCCCTGAAGAGGTCCCAGATTTTTCCAGATCCGTCAGAATTGATCCAGATCCAGGTGTGTTGGCGTCGAACATGATCCAAATTTGATGTCGAAAATGACCCCCTTGCCCCTATTTTTTGTACTGATTGTTGTCAATAGGATTAATCAAGTCAACTTTTAATGTGTTTTCAGCAACTAAATATGAGGGTATAAACCCAACTAGAATTGGATATAATGGGATAGATTACCATTGCCAGCAATACAATACAAGTTCGGTATCCCAAAATGGGGCATTCCTTGTCCAAGAAAGATATGGGTGTATCAAATCAACTATTTTAGGGTACCATTTGGTGCCATTTGTTTACTTGTAGGATCAATAACCAACCATATGAGCTATGTTTGTCCCAAAGGGCAGTATTTACACCAAAATTATGGCATATAGCAATGTTTGTTGATGGCAAAAATTGATGATAATCCATTGAAATTGGGTCGGTTTTCCATATTTGAATATTCGTCAAAGAGAGAATTCAAGAAAAACGTATGGAAAACGGCGTCAGCAAAAGAGATTATCACATGGGACCCCGTAACCTATAGGATGTTTTTGTCCCACTTGGATTACAAGATGCCGTAGCCAATCCGTAAGCAACAAACGCTGCGAATGGTCATCCCAGTCATCCCAGCAGGAATCTGTGCTGGAGCGTCCAAGCAATATCTGGCAAGTGACGGGGGGAAGAAACAAAGGTGGCATTTTGGTCCGTGAAAAATGTGAGAACCTCGGCTCAATGGGAGATCTCCAGGATCCTAAAATGGAGGTACTGTACCATATAAGGCCATATTTTTGGGGTATATCCCCTTACATAGCCCTTACATAGGCCTTATATATGCTAGGCCCCTCGAATCTAGGATCCTGAAATGGCCATTGATCGGCTGTTCAGTGCCCTAATGTGACCCTGCTAGTCATACAGATTGGAGGAACTGTTTTGAAGTCAAGGATAGTCACTACATATCACTACTGTATATATGTGTATTCCAGGGATATGTTCACACTATTTCACAATATCTTTGGGTTCCCCAAGGCTTTTCATGTCAAAAAACCACTTAGGCTCTTTGGTTTCTAGTCCCAAGGATAGTTGGGTTCCCAAATTGATATTTTGGGAATAGCTACGGGATGCTATGGGGAACTACAGCTGGAACCCAGCTGAGCCCAGCTTTTCCCAAGCGGATCGGTCTTGAAGGGATGCAACTAACACTTGGCCCAGTTGCTTCCTGTGTTTCTTGATTACACACCGTTGGTTTTGTTGGATATGAATGGATATGATGATATATCCCCATGTTTGATGGTTATCAAGTTATCAATTCTCATGATTGCTGGTAAAGCTAAAAGCTCTTTCGCTTCAATCGCCATCTTCCTCAGTTCTAGCCACACATTCCTCGTTTATATCGCGACGTTTTTGCGCATCTTTTTATGGCGATTGCTTAAGGACATCTTCTCCGCCTCTTGCGGTGTCTCGGAGTTCCCAGGTGGAGTTGGCTGGCAGGAAATAAGGAAAACTCATGGTTTCTCCCTGATGATGATCAATGATCTATATAGACGGTGGATGTTGCTGTATGGTAATCAAGATGGGTTGAAATCACCAGAAATACGTAGATGTGCATCCTAGGAATATGGTGGGATAATTTTTTTGTGTAGAGCCTACAAGAAACCAGGCTTAACCAACCAAGATGGACATATTTATTTTAAGAATGATGCGGGTAATTAACCGTTAATAGTAGGCCACCGATAAACAGGGTACTGTATTCACCCAATTGTGTATGGATGCCAACTGAGACGCTCATTTGTTATCTCCAAATGATTTTCCCAGACTTGGATAAAGGGGAAAGCTGCAGAACGACCTCATATTTACTCGTAAGACCATTGGTGTCCTTTATTTGTTTCCAACAAAACCAAGCCATTCAGCCTTGAAATCTCTATTTTTAACGGTGAAACTATCATTTTTCTTGGTTGGATCCCCTTTATTGCTTAAATCTGGATAAGTCATGTCAAATCATCAGGTTCCTTGGTTTTTTTCGCACCCATTTTTACCACCCCACCCCAACCCCAAGCGGCCAAGGAGCGACTCAGCACTGGAGCCTTGGTGCGAGAGCTGGAACGCCAGGTGCTGCGGATGTCTTTTGGAGCTTTGAAGCATCGATTTCGATGAAAATGTCGGTGATTTTCACCTGCAAAAAATGCTGGTTTTTGATATGTTGATATATATATATATAATGATGATATTATAGCAATTTAGTAAGGATTTTTTAACACTGATAAATCATGGAGATATCATTTTGATTTAATGTGGATACCCGATATACATGGTTAAACTTATTATATGACACCAAAAATGCTGATTCTGAATGGTGCACCATGATATCATGGTGATTTAACCATCAAACAATGATGGTTTAGTGGGGATATTCTGGGATATTTCTGTAATGGGAATCTAGCTTACAATGGGAATCTAGTTGGTCACCTACAAAAACAGCCAAAACAATGTGTTTTGTATGGCCAGTGAAAAAATTGGTTTAACTAAGATAATATCAAATGATGGTATCATTGGAAAAGAACTATTAGTGATCATTTGGAATTTAGGGGACACGTGTGTTAAAGATAAGATATGAGACATGGTCAACAGATAGATTATAGCCAGTCCTTGGGATGGTCATCAGTCCATGTTTATAGGGATTTTAAAACCCATTATATTTGGATTTCCATGGCACGGGATGACCATACTTGACATACCATGCTTTGAGAATGGGATGTATTCTCAATATCTATCAAGCATTCTTTCAAATGATGACCCAACGCAGAAAGACAGGGGTTTAATTAACACTGACACAGATTCTTTTACTGTACAGTAAATGTAAAACCAATCAACGTTGACCTTTAACCAATGAGAATTGCGATTTAACCAAGAACGGGAATATCATGGGAATACAATGGGCTGATTGATGATCATCCGTTCTTTTGCAGTGAACATGCCATCTCTGGGGTATATATATATATACATATTATATTACATTACATTATATTATATTACATTACATTATATTACATTATATTATATTATATTACATTATATTATATTACATTACATTATATTATATTTTATTACATTATATTATATTACATTACATTATATTACATTACATTACATTACATTATATTACATTATATTACATTATATTGTATTACATTACATTATATTATATTACATTATATTACATTATATTACATTATATTACATTATATTGTATTACATTACATCATAATATTTTATTTCATATTACATTATATTACATTATATTACATTATATTGTATTACATTACATCATATTATTTTATTTAATATTTTATTATATTATATTACATTACATTATATTACATTATATTACATTATATTGTATTACATTACATTATATTATATTACATTATATTACATTATATTACATTATATTGTATTACATTACATCATATCATTTTATATTATATTATATTCTTTTACATTAGATTGTATTACATTACATCATATTTTTTTTATATTATATTATATTACATTACATCATATTTTTTTTTATATTATATTATATTACATTACATTATATTATATTATATTACATTATATTACATTATATTGTATTACATTACATTATATTATATTACATTATATTACATTATATTACATTATATTACATTATATTGTATTACATTACATCATATGATTTTATATCATTTTATATTATATTACATTATATTACATTATAATATATTACATTATAATATATTACATTATATTATATTATATTATATTACATTGCATTATATTATATTATATTACATTATATTACATTATATTACATTATATTGTATTACATTACATCATATCATTTTATATTATATTATATTATATTACATTATATTACATTATATTACATTATATTGTATTACATTACATCATAATATTTTATTTCATATTACATTATATTACATTATATTACATTATATTGTATTACATTACATCATATTATTATTTATATTTTACATTACATTATATTACATTATATTACATTATATTGTATTACATTACATTATATTATATTACATTATATTACATTATATTACATTATATTGTATTACATTACATCATATTATATTATATTATATTACATTATATTACATTATATTGTATTACATTACATCATATTATTTTATTTTATATTTTATTATATTATATTACATTACATTACATTACATTATATTACATTATATTGTATTACATTACATTATATTACATTATATTATATTACATTATATTACATTATATTACATTATATTAGATTATTTTACATTACATTATATTACATTATATTACATTACATTATATTACATTATAATATATTACATTATATTATATTATATTACATTACATTATATTATATTATATTACATTATATTACATTATATTACATTATATTACATTATATTGTATTACATTACATCATATCATTTTATATTTTATTATATTATATTACATTACATTATATTACATTATATTACATTATATTGTATTACATTACATTATATTACATTATATTATATTACATTATATTACATTATATTACATTATATTACATTATATTACATTATATTGTATTACATTACATCATATTATATTATATTATATTATATTATATTACATTACATTATATTATATTGTACATTATTATACCTCATTGTTGGAAAATAGCCATGTTTCATGCCTTTTTTGAAACGGTCATGGGAGGTGACCTTCCCGGCGCAGGAAGATCGACTCTGCTTTCAACGGCTCACGGGAACGGGGCCCGACTCTGGCTGGGTCAGTTTGCGTGTCTCGCTTTCAAAGCGGAAGGCGGCCTGGAGTCCCCCAAAAGAATGACGAAGGAACAACGATTTCCCACGAAAGTCTCATTTTTTCCAGGTTGTTCAGCTTGCATGGCAGATTTTTGGGTGTAAATTTGGCATTGGTCAGGATTCTCGACGAATTTGGCTTCTTTGCAGGGGGTTGAAATATGTTGAAATGCCTGAAACGTTGCTTGGTGTTTACAGAGTGGTTGGACAATAGACAATAGACCCCTTTAAAAGGTGATGTCAAAGGTGTATGGTTAATGGGTCAAAACCCTGGTACCCTAAGTACCCTAAAATAGTTGGTTAAAGGATTGTTATTCCCCCAGTCATATGGTAATTTCATAGGTTTTGACCCATCCCCGTATGAAAGAAAACCTTTACAAGTGGATGTTGACATGTGAACCTTCAGCAAGCTGAGACGTCTGCAGGACTAGTATCATTCTGTCTACGCCAGGAGTCTTAATATGGGTGGGTCATTTGTCCAAACTTTGGCTCTAAAAAAGAGAGGCAACAATATGTTTTCCAAAAATTGCCTTTGCAGGACAACGAAACCTTATTTTTAGGGGTATCTCATTTTTCAAGAAATAGCAATGAGAAAAAATCTGTCCACATGGCACCGGGTTGTTTCAGTTGAATTTTCGATACATGGAACAAAACCATCCGCAACACCCTAGGGCTTAATAGGGCCTAATAGGGCCTTGCCCATCTCCGGTTCTTCAGCTGTCTGGTGGAACCGAGGTTTGCAGGGGGGACAAGCTCTGCTTGAGCCGCTGGATTTCGCTAATATGCAGGCGACCTGCACGCTGGAAATCGCTGGAAGCTGGTTCCTGTGGTCACCATAGGAAGTCCTGACTTTGACAAAAATGTACAGAACGAAATAGAGGACTATACTTCGGTAGACATATGGAGGTTTCCTGAAATAGGCGTACCCCCAAATCATCCATTTCAAGATTGGATTTTCCATTATAAACCATCCAGCTATTGGGGTACCCACATTTCGGAAACCCCCATATGGGTTTAAACCATGCTCAAGCAACCAAATTAGTAGATGTTGCATGATTTCACAGTTAGGTACGGGTGGTCAATTAGGAGGCTCACAAATCGACAGTTGGACTGGTTATCACCAGCGTCTTGCAGGCCATGTGTGCACATTTGTACAGTACACTAATATGGTAAACCCAATGCCATAAACCATACCAAATAGAACTTGACTATTGGATATACCTTGGTATACCCTGTTTGGAATGATGTAAAACGACCCCCAAATGCTTGGTTTATGGGATGGTACCACATTATTCCATTTCGCAAGATACCCATTCTTTAACATATGCTCGGCCTTCCCAAAAAACCTCAGCGCCCGTGGACTGTCAGAGACCTCAGCTCAGCATAGTTAGATGATGTTAGATTCATCAAGTTTCATCCTGCTTGTTCCCATGAATTCCCATGATCTCGGTCCAGAAAAGAAGGCAGTTTGAACAAAATCCTCTCCGAATTCCACCGGTAAAACAGGGGTTTCTCCCCCTGGCATTCCAGGTCCATGATTCCGGGTCCATTGACTTGGTATGTTGTGAAAATTCATGATCGTGTCATACCATTCCTACCTTTGTGCACTCAAACATTCAGAATTCGATGAAAAAACGTCCAGAACATATTTCAGGAGCCTCTTATATGTTTCGACATATTCATATATTACATATCTTTAGTGGTTTAATAATAATACACCCTGATTTGAAATTCTGAGGTTTTCCTTTCTCATAGAAACCACCCCAAGGGAAACCATAAATCCTGAAGGAGTTCCTTTGTGCATTGCAGCCAGGGCCAAAAAAAGACCTCCGTCTATGACGGCATTGACCTTGAGATTCAGATGTTCAACGAGGATGGTCAAGGGCCATTCAAGGGCCGTGGGCGGCATAACAATCCTGCTGGATGGAGGTCAAACCAAACATTTTCTTGGGTGAAGATGATGGGATATATGAAGTGATTGATGATTGAACTAATAGACTCTCCGACCACCATCACCATTTACTGACCATTGTTAAGGATATTCAATTACCTCCATGTTTTCTGGTGATATCTTCATTTTGCTGGTAATATCCCAATGCTTGAACCAGATATTGCCACAATCTCGCAGCAATTTTCCTGGTGAATCCAAATTCGCAGCTCCCAAATAGCTTTGTTTGAACATAGGCTAGCCCCAAATTTGATGGTTTATGATCAACATAGCGCCACTATTTGATGCCCCTTTGGTATCGGGTATCTCATGGTCTCTCCCATTATCAGACAACCCGATCTTGGAATAAAACCTCATATCCCAATGGTGTCCCCATGTTTTGAAAGTTACATCACGATGTGTCATTCATGCATGAATGTACCGCATGTCCCCATGGTGGTTGATTTTCAACCCCAAGTATCATTTTTTTTGTGGTTATATCACGATTTTATATCCTTATCATGTCCTTAAATCATCGGTGTGTCGCTAGTGAAATCGCCCATATGTTGATCAAATGGTTGATTTACCCATCTTATAATATATAATACTCTATAACCATTGTCAACCACTACTAACCATTGTTGAGGATATATATGGGTTTGTCTGAAAATATTGTACCCCTACACCCAATGGTTGATGATCATTATCCCTACTAAATGGCTATTTCATTGGGAGTATACCCCATTTTCAGACATACCCATATATATATATATATGTATATAAACCCCCCATGTTTCGCTGGTGAAGACGCCATTTGAACAGCCTTCAAGACAGACCCCGACAGACCCCTGTTGATGATTCGTGGGTTTATCATAATCCATGAGCCAGGAATCGGGTATTCTCGGTATTCAAACAATATTTCATGGAATGACCTTTGGGGTAATCCGCTAAGCCCCTAAATACTGTAGATGAAGAAATCCTGCACCTTGGATGGTAGAAACATGTTGAAAGCTTATAAATAATGGGATACAGATGGATAAACCACTTATCAACTGGTACAGGATTTCATCCACAGTATCACCTTCCCACTATCCCCCCCTGTGACCTCGTCGTCCTCGTAAATCTCTAAGAGGACTCCAAACTAAGAAGCCTTATAGTCATCCCCCAATAGACGGCAAAGTAAATCCCTACTAATTTCATGGTGATTTACTTTTCCATCTATTTGGGGATGACTATTAATGACTATTAACATCTATTAACCATGAACAACCACTACAAAGCCAATTCTTAAGCATAACTCCCAATGTGTTCTGATAAAATGTCACACAATTTTGAACCATATTCATAGAATTGGATTATGGGAAAATTTACAGGAAAGCCCTATATTTGATGGTAAAAACCATGGTTTCCTGTAAATTTTCCCTTAATTAAACCAATCCAGTGACATATATTCCCCATGGTTTTTTTTGCGAGTTTCCTGGTGGAATCCCTGGTGAACGGTGATTTTTAGTGGCTTGATGATTCCCCAATTATTCAATAATCATCCAAGGGGTACCCGGCCTGGTACACATTAACATAAAGCGAACTGGAATTCATGGCCCAGTCGAAATAGTTGATTTATATACCCATTTTCATAGCATGGTGGATCTTTCCAGTTCGTTATGTAAACGTTTACCAGAGGGTATCGATTGATGTTCAAATATCGGCTATTAAACACTGTCCGTCAACCATTGAAATTCATAATCCTGACCATTGGTAACCATGCACAGTATCACAATGTGCCATGTTTGATGAAATCCCATATGCCCACCTATGGAAGTTAAAATAATCATCTATGTTTGAATAGCTGGTTGGTGGTTTGGAACATTTTTTATTTTCCCATATATTGGGAATAATCATCACAACTGACTCATATTTTTCAGAGGGGTAAGTTCAAAAACCAACCAGATAGCATTTTCCATCGAAATGAACCAGCTCTTGGGGCACCATGACTTCGATGACTTTAGAAACCCCACGTGGCCAGCTGAGCTGAGGAGAAGCATTTCTCCTACGCCCAGCTGCCTCCGTGGGCCCCCACTGCTGCGGCGGTGGCACGGCTCTGGCGCCAGCAGAAACCCTTTCCACCCACCAGGTCTGGCGCCGGAGACGGTAGGGCTGCTGCGAAATTGAAGCATTTTGAAGCCATGGAAATTGGGATCTATAGAATATTATAGATGATTAATAGTGGTGAAGAATGATATAAGTAATGGTTAATCATATGAAATGATTTTTTGATGGTCAAGAGTGGTTAACAGTGATATTTGTTGTGGTTAATAGTGATATTAGTAGTGTTTAAGAATGATTTTTAGTCGTTAAGAGTGGTTAAGAAGAGTGGTTCATAATATTGGAGAATTATTTATCATGGTTAATGATGGTTAATGATGGTTAATGATGGTTCAGGTGTTCAGGGTAATCGTGAATTTCCCTTCGGAATCTGATGGATTTGGTCCTGGATAGATTCATGAAGTGTGTGTGTGTGTATCACCAGTGTGTCTATGTTTGATTTTGATGGACTACTTCAGAATAGGCTTGACATGGGACCACTGAATAGGTCCTTGTTTAGCAACAGACCTTGGAAACGGAAAGGATTCGAATCCTTCATGCAGGGATCATGTTGAGTTTCCAGCTAGGCAGCTAGGGAGCCCATCCCAAAAACAAGTAGTTTCTGTTTCTTGCAAGGGGATGCTACATGACTGCTACATGCTCCGAGGTTTTCAGTGGCATGTCCACTGTTGGCGACTAATCGTTCGGATTGCACTCATCCATTAATCCTCATGTTCCCCATTGAATGGCTATACTGGTTGTTGCTGGTTTGGAACATTTTTTATAATTCATAATATATGGGATAATCATCCCAACTGACTAATATTTTTCAGAGGGGTTGAAACCACCAACCAGCTATAATTGGGGGAAAACCCCTATTTTCAAAGCCACATTTCGTGGTTTCAAGTCCCAGCATTTCAAGTCACATTTGCCACGTCGATTTCAATCAAAGGCAGACTGGGGAAGAACGGGAAGTGAAGCAATTGGCGCCTCACAAAATGTTGAGCCTGAAGCAATTGGAGGCCGGGTCAGCTGAACATCTGAGGCAGGAGATTTAAGCCATGAAAAATATGGGGATTTTAGGGCCGTCAAAAAGGGGAATTTCATTGGCATCATGCAATTGCAGGCTATTTAAACATATCAGGGCCTTGGGACCAAAACTTTGTTCACAGCTTAAGTGTATTGTTTTTTCTTTAACAAAAACCAGTTCTTTGACAACCCCGTTTCAATTTGTTTAGCTGGGTGGTTTCTGAAACTCATTATCACTCAATCCACATCTGTGATGATAAAGCCTGCTGGACTTGTGTCTTCAGGTTGGTTGAAAGGCAAGAGTTGGTCTTGTGTCATTTATGGATGAACTGCAAAGTTTATCCAGTTGGCGAAGTCTAAGAATGGGATACTCTTAAAAATGCGACAAACAATGATATTCAAATGGAAAAACAGTTGGCTAAAGTCCAGGGATACCGCAGGCCCATAGAAATCACATACATACAGTACTTACATATACTTAATATTACATAATTCCCAAGCCTCATGCATGATGATGGCGAGATTTCAAGCGTTTACAGATTCGGAGACGCTTGTTTTTCTTGTTTTTTCCAATGCTTCTGCACTCGGTCGATAGGGTTGAAAGTGCCAAAAAGGATGCTGTGACAAAGACATCAACCAACCCATTTGCTCTTGAATTGCAGTACCACAGCATTCAGGTTGAGATCATTTGGGTTCACCAAAAAGCAACAGGCATCAAGAACTCGGGTACCAAAAAATGTTATACTTAAAATACCATAACAATGAATAATTAATTTGTTTGAACATGATCAGTCAACTAAATCTGCGTCTCAAGTAGTGGTGGATCCAACATTTTGACTCATTACTGACTTGGTTCTGTCCCCATTTCCTGCGCAATATACAGCCCATAGTTAGCGTATGATTACCCGCAACCCGAATTTTGATCATCATTCCCGGACTCAAACTTGCCATGGGCAGAATTATGTAACTTTATATACCCCATTTTCAGACATAGCCGTTTCTGAGGGTGACCTCCATTTTCAGAAAATGGCTAGTCTTTTCTCAAGATTTTTATCGTGGTGCGTTTGTCGCAAAACGACCAGGAGATGTCAAAGCAGCATCTGCCAGGTGCAGTTGGGGGGAATTTTTCCCACCAATTTTTGCACCAAAGTGTTGGGTTGATGAAAACAAAAGGGATGCAACTGTTGGGTTGATTATACAAGAAACAAATGCAACAATGCTGGCCCCAAGTGCTTTTCTGTTGTCAAGCTACTTCCCCAGTTTTACATAGTTTTACACCATACTCCTCTCGGATGTCAACAATGCTGGCCTTAAGACCACCAAACCGAAGACTTGTTGGACAGGCTGCAAGGTCGATAGACACCACGTCACAAATGATGGTCAGTCAGGGGAATCGTCCCTAAAGTGACCGAACTTTTGAGGTTGGTGAATCATTATCTGGTTGGTGGTTTGGAACATTTTTTTCCATTCAGTTGGGAATGTCATAAGCCCAACTGACGAACTCATATTTTTCAGAGGGGTAGGTATACCACCAACCAGTTATAATTCAGGCAAGTTTCAATTATGTCAATTTAATGGAGATTTGATCATCATGAATTAGGGCTTCATAGGGCTATCCATCGAACATCTCTTGTGATATAATTGATGATACTTGATGACTCATGATATACGTGAGAAGTTTTGGGGTTCCCCATTTTAAGAAACCCCCATATCAATTCATATCAATATTATCATGTTGGTTGAGGAAAGAAAAATCATACAACTCATCACGGAAATGGATTCCCCGTCCCCCTGTGCCTCGACCACCAAGTGGACAGGATGTTTCTATGGCCTCACATTTCCTCAGTCTGAAGCTTGGGACGGCCGTGAACATTGGGCCCTTTTTTTTCCCAAGCTTCGTTAAGGTACCCCAAAATGGTGGTAAAGTACCCTACTTCAACGGCTATGTTCGCTGATCCATAGAGTAAACAGTAAACGCAATACTATGTGATTCCAAAAGGCATTAGATCGACCTACTGTACCTTGATACGGGTGCCTCCAATTTGCCAGCACAAATTCTGCGCCTAAAATTGCCGTTGAATTCTTCGTCCGAGAATCCCAACAAATCCAATGCAACTGGGATCAACAAGCTGAAGACAACCAGAAAAATTAGGGATGCAATCAGCCCATGTGGCCCGCTACTGGTCCTGAGTGTTTTTCCATCCTGGGAGAAAGCTATCCGCAGCTGATATGTTTGGGATGAACTGAAACCACCAATGCGTAACTGGGAACAAAAGGGCTAGGCTCGGAATGTGTTTAGTATTCGACACACCAAAGACATGCATATAGTAACCCTATTCATACATAAAAATTACTGCAAATCCGGGATTTTCTATGATTTTCTTAACATCAACTTTTGATTATCAGCAAGAATCCCTGAAAATTCACAGAAAACCACCCCTCTGCCCGAAGTCCCTAGCGGCCCTAGCACCTTCAAGGTCCTCCCAGGAAATGGCGTCGGAGGACTTCGGCCCAGCATGGCTCACCAAAGCCTTCCACACGGTGCCCCAGAGCGATGGTGGAGATATCTTTGTGTGCAGTTGAGGTGATTTTTATCATTTATAACGGTTATAAAAATGGTAATTATGTTGCACCATGTTTATAAATGGTTATAATTATGTATGACCATGGTTATATCGATTTATGACGGCTATAAATGGGTATATAACCATGACTTGGCTGTTTCGTCACTCGTGTGCTGGCACTCAGCCCTCGCGTGCCAGCACTCGCGTGCCAGCACTCGCATGCTCAGCACTCACTCCAATAGATTTTCCCAGTGTGCATCCTGGTAGATATATTTATCTTGATTTAGATAGTGGATGCTGATATTGGAATAGGAAAAATGCATTGGAGTGACGATAAGCATGAGATATCATGAGATACTCATCACATTCATGAGAGCCACACGAGTACCTCCAAGTGGCGTTGATTTTTTCAACACCCTAAAAGAATTTACCTTTTTGGAGGAAACGGGGAACCCCCAGATGCTTTTTTGGGAAGCGCAAAATGCATCCGGACGTCAGGCAGATATTCGCACGTCACCGGATGTTTTTTTCACAGAAAAGTAAATGCGGTATGAAAACCCAACGCGTTTCGAGCTTGCCATTTACTAGCCCTTTGAGGTCTAAAATTTGTATGGATGTTTTTTTCGGATCTAGTTAAATGCATTTACATATATCACAATGATACAAACCCACTGCGTGACGAACCTTGCGCGTGCTGCGTGCTGGAGCTGCTACGAACCATGGGACTCTAACTTCCACAAGTCGAGATACAACCCGAAACAACTGTATATATAGTTGTATGCCCATTTCCAACTGGAACTACACCCCCGTTGAAATCCCCACATCTTCACAGAGTCGATTCCACCAAGCCTAGAGATGCTGGTCATGTTCCAAATAAACACCTGGTTTTTCATGGTGCCGCAATGCTCTCAGAAAGGGGGGTAAACCTTTGGGTTTGGATCGTGAACATCAACTTTTGAGATCTTTTGAACCAAAAAAATGGACTATCAAAATATGGGAGTTTCCATAATTGGGTGTACCACTAAATCATCCACTTTAATAGGATTTTCCCTTATAAACCATCCAGCTATTGGGGCACCCCCATTTATGGAAATCCCCATATCGAAGCAGATATCAACATTCATTGGTACCATTTGGTTATTTAACAGTTCGCCATGGAAAATCACCATTTTATAGCTAGGTAAACCATCTATTTCTATGGGCCATCTATACCATGGCAAACTGTTAGTCATAGCCACAGGGTATATCCCATTATCATCCCATTATTCACCATTGTTAATTTTCCTATGGTAAACCAGAGGCTATGTTAGTCATAACCAGAGGGTACAAATTTTACATGAATAGTCTGAATAGTGTTTTTTTTCCATCAAACATGGTGATTTTCCATAGTTATGTTAGTTTACCAGAGGGTAGGTGAATAGTGGATCAACTATTGACATCTGAACCAGACATGGATGAGCCGACCATGTCCTGAAAGTTGACCTAGGTCGACCTGATGTTGACCACAAATCACCGAGATCTTCTTTTTGTGGGTCAAAATCTTGGTACCCTAAAATGGGTACCCTAAGTCATTGCTGGTTGATGGATGTTTATCATTCCAAATATGATCAAATATGGTAATTTCAGAGGTTTTGACCATTTTTGACCCATCCCCAACTGATTTTCAGGCAGGAACTCTGCCCAAAGACAATCGTGTGGTGAAGATTCACAGGTGCCAATAGTGGGGGGGGTATCAGACATTTCGATGGTTTACCTTCCAGTAAACATAGCTATGGAACATGACCGTTGATGATTTACCAATGATTTATTGTACCCTTTGATAAATTAACATATATAGCTATGGAATATCACCACTTTTATTCGATAAATCATCTATATATGTGTCATTTACCATAGCTATGTTGGTTTACTGGAGGGTACCTAGACCTAGTAAAAATGGTGATGTTCCAGTTCCCTACGATAAATTGCCAGGTACGCTCCCTGCAATTTCCAAGTCTGGTCAGGTTTTGATAACTTGTCAAGTCACACCCTGATCCCATCCCATTCTACTGATTGGGTGAGTTTCAGGTACCGAAATTGGAGGTACCTACCACATATATAATTATATATATTCATTAGGGGATATACCCCCAAAACATGGCCAAAAAAATGGTACGAAGTTAGTACCTCCATGTATTGGATCCTGGAATTTCTATTGAATTAATATTATGTGATATTATGGGTTAGTATAATATCTCTGGAATCAACCAGGTAGGTCAATTCCTACAATGCTACAATGGCCCATGTGCTTGCTGGTTTCAGGCTTGAGATGGCTTGAACCCACCAGCCATCAGCAATCATCAACCAAGCATCAGTCATCAACTCTACTAACCCCGTCTAACCCCTAAAAAGATAGAAAAGTAAATAGTAAAGTCCCACTAAAATACTGATAAATCAGTTTTCTATAATTTTCTATCTATTTGGGGGCTACTACATTATATATATATTGTTAAAATACATGTTTATATTCCCATGTTTGGTGGTTAAACCCCATATTTGATGGCTTCATCATTTTGATCACGGTTGGTCACCCCATTGTCGGCACATGAGAACCACAAGGGTGGAAAATTGGCGGTGGTCAGGGAGCAAACCCGCTGATGGTATCAAATCATATATTCCCATATCAGTTTGTTTTGCACTATATTAATATATTAACTATATATTCCCACAGATTCATTTCCTTGATGACTAAACCTCCCATCAAATATGGTATAGTTTCTTTCCCATGCTGTTTTCCCATATAGTTTCAGCCATATTCCAGTTGGTGGCTTCATTTTCGTGGTTAAACGTTCCATCGACCCGGTGGGATGGCCTGCTTCGCCCTGCGCAGTGTCGAAGAGCTGGCGGTGAAGGGTTTCGATGCCGCCGGTGGCGCTGCCATGAAGATGTTCTTGACGGTGCGCGGCGATGCCCTGGGCCTTGTTGGTTGGGCGATGCCGCAATTTGACTATAGGAACCCGGACAAACATGGTTACCTTCTGGTCAACTAACACAAAAAACTATGGAACATCACCATTTTCAATAGGTAAATCAACTATAAATGGTCAATTTTCAATAGCTACGTTAAATTACCAGAGGGTATAAGATGTGACATGTGGATATATAACTATAGATAACCATAAGTTGCCATAGTAAATATGTATATAGTGGGGTTCCAACCACTAGTTGGAGGTGTAGTTCCAGCAATAAGTGGGTCATAGATGTGAGTGTCCACTGCAACATGAGGTGGAAGTGTTTTACCGAGAATTCATGGTTTCCATTAACACAAATGGGGATCTGGCTAGTAAAAGTGGATGAATCTGCCTGACTGGTAGGTGGAGAATGATGTACTTTTCTGATCAATGGGGAATGGCAGCAGCCAATTCAACCCTACGGTCATCAAACATGGTTTGCTTGAAAATCCACCCTTTTGTTCCATGATTTTCGCCAGCTATAAACCTCAACTAATTACGGAGATTTTCCAGCCATGTTTGATTACTGGAGGGTATCGAAGCTGATCCCCTCATCACTTGCCAATGCTTGCAGCTTTGTCTAAGGAATAGGGTACCCCAACGTTGGTTGATTATACTTCCACTGAAGTAGAGAGTACTTAGTAAACCTGTAATTTTGGGGGGTTAGTCACCAATTTTCTCCATTCAAATTGTCATTTTGGGGTCACATCCCCCATCCTATGGCACCAACCCCATATGCTGTGAAGGTGGAATATGAGAAAGCAGATCCCGAGCTGCACACTGAGCTCTTCTGCAAATATCCGTAGCGACCCCAGTTGGAGAAGGAAAAGGAATCATGGGAACATCAACAGATGGGACGGATAGGTCTATTATCAGTTTTACTAAGGAGTTGCTGTGGATTTCCTATGGGTCTACTGTGGGTTTAGCTAGGCTACTGGAGTCCATGCGGAAAAACATGATGACCTGCAAAGTCAGCTCCCGGAAGCTTCACCTGTGCATGGGGGGTTCCATGAATGGCGATACCCCAGCTGGATGGCTTTATGATGGAAAATCCATCTATAAATGGATGACAACCAGGGGTACCCCCATGACTTAGGAAACCTCCACATATTTACAGGCATTTGCACATAGTTACTGTTGTCTTGTAGTAAGGTGCCCTACCTTTGAGTCGCTGGAACAACTCCACCGATTTGTTTTTCCCCAGCAGTGACCCAGGTATTCCTATGAGGAATACCCCGTAGAACGAAGACAATTAGCCGCTTGGTTTTCCGGGTTGGAGACTGGTGCAGACTCCAGGTCCGTCATCTGCAACATGCTGTCGAATCTAACGCTCCAACTGTTGGTTGCATTCCCATGTTGACAGCTAAAAATATGCTAAAATTATCTAAAAATATCTAAAATCATCCTTTGATGCTTGAGTTTCGTGTCCGTAAAGATGCTGGTGCATCTTGAGTTTCTGAATTTTACGGACACTCCGCAGTTTTGGGATGATGAGATTCCAAGGCGACTTTCCGTGATCAAACTCAGGTGGCTTCAAACATTCCATGCGGATCGGAATATTTTTTTGCATGCGGGTTTAAGATGGTTTAAGCATCATCTTGAACTCGAAGAATGTGTTGAATGGAAAATTGACAGGACAATTCCATGTTTTGCGGCCAAACAAACATGGTCTCCAGTTTCCACTTGCGATTTCCCAAAATCGAAAGCATGGTGTCTTCAGATAAGATGATGATATCCGAATATTACAACAATATCACCACTTTATTAAATTAAGATCAAGATGTTTTCCAATCCAATTGAATTATTATCTCAAGTATTCTTAAGTTACAATTGATTAAATCAAGTTTGAATAAGATTAAGATCAGAAAAATATTCGTCCTTTCCTGGATGCTGAAAAAAAGTGCTGGAATATTTACCTTATTTTACATTTACCCTCTGGTTATTTAACATAGCCATGGAAAATTGCCCTAATCGAAATAGATGGTTTACCTAGCTATAAAATGCTGATTTTCTATGGCTATTTACCTATTACCTATTAAATAATACCCATCTGGTGATTGAATAACATTTATAGATGGTTTACCTAGCTATAAAATGGTGATGTTCTATGATTTTCTATGGTTTACCTATTAAATAACCAGATGGTACCCATAGTTACCCCCGAAAAATGGCCCAGTTTTTATCCACGTTGCATCCAAGGCCTATGGCGACGCGGATGGTCCGGAGATCCTGGTCCAAATGCCGCTGGGCATAGCATTTTGGATCAAAAAACACCATTTGGACCATCCAAAAATATCCAAAAATATGGTTGTTTGATGTTTTAATTGGATGTTCTACTGGATATTTTTTCCTATTCCTTTAAGGTTATTTGTCATAGCTATTAATCCTATAGATTTTTTAGGTTCCATGTTGGATGTTCAGTGGGCTACTATCAATTGTGTAAGACAAGATTAACTATACCCAGCTTAGAACAAAAACTGTTGGCGATCAACGTTGGGGTTGACTGCAGGCCGTTTTGAAGGGAGATGATGGAGATAATCGGTGTTTGTTGGTGTTACCAACCTTTAAGAGACCGCTACCGAGGGATGGAATGAAGGGACAAGGACAGTTTTACGGGTGGGTTGAACATACACCGGCACGTTTGCGAAGCCTTAAGTCAAGCCTCCTGAATAGAAGTCTACCCATGATGGTCCACTTGAGAGAGGGCAATCTGTTGATTCTCAGTCAGGGTCTCCCACTTTAAGAAAGCCATGCCCCAGTCCCAGATTTGTCATGACATCGCCAGTTGAACGGCCCTTTTTGGTGTCTTGAGCAATCTTGTTTCACGATCTCAGGACATAAAATTGCCAACCCTTCCCATACATTTTGCATCATTTTGCGTAAGAATCCTGGCAATATTGTGGAAGAACCCTACCTGCCTCATATGCGACGTGCCAACTGCGATCCATGGCTGTTCGTCGTACAGAGACCAGCCTTCTCAGGTCGTTGACGCATCTCTTTCCCTTTCGCACCGCCAAGTTCTACTTCGGGGACGTGTCTGGGTGAAGTTTCGAACGGAGACATGGTGAAACCGCCTGGGACACTTCGGTTTCCCAAAACATTGGAACAGTGAACCCATGTGAACCCTCAAAATGCAGTTTCAATTTATAGGGATAAATGATGATGAACGGTACCCTACTTTCAGACAAACCCTACATTGTGTGTTTTGGCCAGCGTGTTACACGGAGTTTGGCTGAAACCGAACCATTTCATCACTGTGCGAGTCAATGACGCTGAAGATTATCACACAACCATGCCTGAAATCTGAAAGGACATGTTACGGAAGTGCCTTTTCCATCCTTTTCCAATATTGTCCATATGTTTGGATTGTTCAAAACCAATTTTACCATGATTCACATCAATCACCATCATGGTTTTTGTGAAACAACTTTCGCTCTATATTTCTGGATATTTCTGGATATTTCTGGATGGGATTCCCTTGTTGTCTGATTAAATAACCGCGTTTGAAGCAGAGGGTGTTCTCTTTCAACGTCCAGGTCTGTCGAGAGACGACCAACTACATCCTGATTTCGGTGCCTTGGCGCAGGTCTAGGAGCCATGTGATGAAGGTATGATTAAGGTCAAGTTGCAGTTGCTGTTGGAATGTTGAATGGTTAACCTCAATAATCTCTTCATGGGAACGGTTGAGTTTCTTGGAGAATTGGTTCTTAGATGGTCTTGTGTGAGAAACCCAATTCCGTAAATACACGTAGCATTTGTGGATGGATGTGGATGGTAAACATAGCAGCGATAAACATGGGGATGCTTTGGGGATGGTGCAGGTGGCATTGGGTGAATCCCACATCATCTGGCTTGGGCCAGATCTTCTCAGAAGGAAGACATGCCACCCTTTGACTGGAGATTTACAATGCAGTCTACATCTATCTATCCTACCTGGACAAATTCTACCAGCTAGTAGGAAGCACCGGATTGTGTGGATTGGATGCCGTGTTGGGGTTCGATCATTTTGTAGCCATGTTGATGTTAAATCGTCGAAGGGAAATCACCCAAAAGAAGCGAAACACTGGTCGATGATTTCTCTCAAAAATGACTGGTGAACCTCAGAGCAAACCCCAATATGTTGAGGTTAATGATGGTTAGTGATGATTAATGATGGTTAATGATTGTTAATCTAAAGATCCAAAATGGTTTGGTGCATGTTTTCAAAGATCAAACTTTGAGACCAAGTTCCACTATGGGTAGCCTGGAGGATATTGGTGGGTTGCACCACCGTGCCAATCTCCAAGCAGTGCATCTGAGGAGTTTCTTACCCAAATTCCCAATAATTCCCATGTAGGGGTTGGAAACCTCAAGGCATTCAAGTGGTTGTGGCTGGGTCCACTCCTTCAACAAGTGGAGTTTCTGAGGAGAAGATTTCCTTCTCACGACGCGGACGAGTGGAGAAGGGTCACTTGGAGGGTTTTTCACGGTGTGAGGAGGTCGTGCAGGGTTGTTCCAAGCTTGGATAGAATACCGCAGGCACAATCAATGTGTGGTTTCCTATGCCATGTATCATCTATAAACCGACCATATTAAGTGGTTTCTGAATGTTTCTGAAGTCATGGGGAATTTTGAAGACTATATACAGTATGGGTTTCTTATGGTTCCTTCATACAGTTACTAAGTCATGTTCTAATTAATGACTTGGATGATTTGGGGGGTGAAACCCCATTTTGGGGTTTCCCGAACCGTTGCTATGGTTCCACCAAAAATTGTGGCTGGTGAACCAACCTGGGTTTTTTTCGCTCGGAGCTGGACATGACTTGAACAATGCAGAGCTTTAATCGACTTTAACCGACTTGAGCCATAAAAAATACCCTGGTGAATTGATTGCCATAGGGGATTATACTACCTGGTTTACTGGGGATTATGATAACCCATAGTAGGGAAGCCTATCAACCTACTAGCATAATGAGATGGGATAGGGGTATTTTTAATGGCTCACTTGTTGCCGGTTGCTGGTTGTACTGGGATGACACTACTGTAAGTTGTTAAGTGTAGGTCCACAAATGTCCGCAATATGAAAGTTGACAATCAAAAAAAAACACACGAACCAAGATGCCATGTACTCTACTCCTTCCAGTGGTGAGATATGGTGAGCTGCAAAATTTTGTCATTGGTAATGGATCCTTTCAGTCGAGTTACTCCCTGGTCCTCTGGCTCTTTGATATACCCTCTGGTAAACTAACATAACCATGGAAAATCATCATTTCTAATGGCTAAATAAACTATTTCTATGGCCATTTTCAATAGCAAACTGTTAAATTACCAGAGTGTATAGTGTGGAAGCTATGGTCCACAGAAACAGATCATGTATGATGATTTACCTATCTATAATTTATTATAATTCTATAATGTAAAATCATACATGATAGACCATAGGTTAACATAGGTCATCTGTATGGTGTAGATCATGTCCATAGACTTTAACATGTCATGTAAAATGGTGATTTTCGAGTTCGCAAACCGTTAGTCATGACCATAGGGTAACACGCAACTTTTCTCACCTTTTCCGACTCAAAAACAGCAAGCGGGTTATCCCCTAAACGATGGTAACGATGGTCCTATGATGTCCCAAAGCTATTGACCTATCTCTAACTAGTCTGGTTGGTGGTTTCAAACATGAATTTTATTTTCCATAATATATGGGATAATCATTCCCATTGACTTTCATATTTTCAAGATGGTTGTTGCACCACCAACCAGTAGTTGATGATTTTCAGATTTGGGTGCGCAATTGTCCCATAGCTATACGGCTAGGATCCAGCAGTTCAAGTGGTCACTGTTGAAGAGAATTTTCCCAGTTGCAGCAGTTTCATCGAACGAATGGGGGATTGAAAACGATACTTATAGAGTCACCAACCAGAAAAAAGGCAGTGAAATGACTAGGTGAACTATAATCATAGAGAAATCGACAATTCATCAACTGGATCCAAAACACACTCAAGTAGATGTTGAATACCAATTCTAGCTCATTACTTCTCATTACTTGCTGGTGTTTTTTCCCCTGTGTGTACTGCTTAAATCATGATGAAACCATATTCTTGGTTAAATCGCTCATCAAGTCTGATGAAGATAACTGTTACAAGTAACCCCTATATTCACTGAAAGGAATGATGCCAACTTAACTGTAAATGTTACAGACAAGACCTTTTCAACACAACCCAACGATCAAGCGATCAAGGTAAAGTGGTGGAGGAGATTGAGTACGAACCATACCAGGTCATGGGGTGAACTTGGGAATACCTCCAAATATCCCAAAATGAGAAATTTCCATAGGGAATTTTGATGAGAAAAGATGACATTCTAGCAAAATCTTACCCATATTCCAAGGCTGTTCATATTCCATGCCCAAATAGCTCCGGAAATTTGGAAAATAATGAACGACCTTTGATGATGAGAATAAGGTTGTGTGACCCTTGTCAGGCGCTCCCTTGTCACGTGCTGTCATGTCCAGTCGCACACGTTTAACCCCGCTGAGAACCTTCTCAAGCAATGATATGATTTCTTGAATAAACATAATCATAAAGTCTTGTTTCTCTCATCAATCATCAGCTTCTCTCTAGGATCTTTTAAAACCATTGGATAAGCTGTTCAGCTTTTTTTGACGCGTTTGGCTGGCGGCTCAGCTTCCGCATCTGTAAACGGGGCCAAGTCTGGATTACGCTGTTCTTCCTCGAACCCAAATGGTACCATATTTCCACTTAATACAGTTACATTGAGTAGGATGCCACCCCTGGAGTACGATGCCCCCCCCGTATGCGTTGCCGTTCCTGCATGTGGGCTTCTCAGGCATATGTTAATATCATTTTTGATCAGCTCGAGGCTGCAAATTCCATTCCACATAACCACAAGGCATCACACTCTATCGCGCACGACTAAGACAACAATCGAGAATTTTCATAGCCTCCACGGGTCAAAAGTATCAAAATTTCATGGAATGCGATTGTATGCGCGACTGTTCAAAACGCTGGAAAAACAACAATTTCCCCCATATTCCATATTATCAGATTCCAGAGCACTTTACCTCCGAAGAGGAAAAAAAATAAAATTACACCGGCATAGACCCCAGATAGAAAAGGTTGGAACTGATGGTTCCCAACGTGGGAACCAAAGGTTGCCATGGCAAGGAACTGCCGGTTCCCAGACCTTGAAACTTACGGTTCCCAACTTGGGAACCAGAGGTTACCATTGCAAGGAATTGCCGCTTCCCAGAAGTTAGAATTTATGTTTTCGGAGCTAAGCAACTATCATTGTAAGGAACTGCGGATTCCCAAAGTTTGAAACTCATGGTTCCAAACCTGAAAAAGCATACGTTACCAGTGGAAGGATCTGTTAAAAATCATGGTTCTAAATGTTGTTTTGTTTTGTTTACTGAGCCGGTAACAGAACCTTTTGTTTTGCATAATGGACCGGTAGCGGAATGTTTGCGTTCGGCTGCTGGGCCGGCATAAAAATGTTTTGCACGAAAAAGGTGCATGTTAAAATGAAATGAAAACAGTTTCTTTACAACTTTATGGTTTTGCTTAATGGACTGGTAAAGAACGCTTTGTTTTGCTTAACGGACCGGTACCGGAATGTTTGCGTTTGGTTCATGGCAAGGAACTGCCGATTCCCAAAGGTTGGAACTCACTGTTGCCAACGTGGGAACCACAGGTTACCATTGCAAGGAACTGCCGGTTCCCAGAGGTTGGAACTCCTGGTTCCCAACCTGGGAACCATGGGTTACCATTGCAAGGAACTGCCGGTTCCCAGAGGTTGGAACTCATGGTTCCCAACCTGGGAACCAGAGGTTACCATTGCAAGCAACTCCCGGTTCCCAGAGATTGAAACTCATGCTTCCCAACCTGGGAACCATAGGTTACCATTGCAAAGAACTTCCAATTCCTAAAGGTTGGAACTGATGGTTCCCAACGTGGGAACCAAAGGTTACCATGGCAAGGAACTGCCGGTTCCCAGACCTTGAAACTTACGGTTCCCAACCTGGGAACCAGAGGTTACTATTGCAAGGAATTGCCGGTTCCCAGAAGTTAGAATTTATGTTTTCGAAGCTAAGCGGCTTTCATTGTAAGGAACTGCGGGTTCCCAAAGCTTGAAACTCATGGTTCCAAGCCTGAAAAAGTAACGTTACCAGTGGAAGGATCTGTTGATTGCAAAAAGTTAGAACTCATGGTTCTTAATGTTGTTTTGTTTTGTTTACTGAGCCGGTAACAGAACCTTTTGTTTTGCTTAATGGACCGGTAGCGGAATGTTTGCGTTCGGCTGCTGGGCCGGCATAAAAATGTTTTGCACGAAAAAGGTGCATGTTAAAATGATATGAAAACAGTTTCTTTACAACTTTTGGTTTTGCTTAATGGACCGGTAAAGAACGCTTTGTTTTGCTTAATGGACCGGTACCGGAATGTTTGCGTTTGGTTCATGGCAAGGAACTGCCGGTTCCCAAAGGTTGGAACTCACGGTTGCCAACGTGGGAACCACAGGTTACCATTGCAAGGAACTGCCGGTTCCCACAGGTTAGAAGTCATGGTTCCCAACCTGGGAACCAGAGGTTACCATTGCAAGCAACTGCCGGTTCCCAGAGGTTGGAACTCATGCTTCCCAACCTGGGAACCATAGGTTTCCATTGCAAAGAACTTCCAATTCCTAAAGGTTGGAACTGATGGTTCCCAACGTGGGAACCAAAGGTTACCATGGCAAGGAACTGCCGGTTCCCAGACCTTGAAACTTACGGTTCCCAACCTGGGAACCAGAGGTTGCCATTACAAGGAATTGCCGGTTCCCAGAAGTGAGAATTTATGTTTTCGAAGCTAAGCAACTATCATTGTAAGGAACTGTGGGTTCCCAAAGCTTGAAACTCATGGTTCCAAGCCTGAAAAAGTAACGTTACCAGTGGAAGGATCTGTTGATTGCAAAAAATTAAACCTCACGGTTCTTAATGTTGTTTTGTTTTGTTTACTGAGCCGGTAACAGAACCTTTTGTTTTGCTTAATGGACCGGTAGCGGAATGTTTGCGTTTGGCTGTTGGGCCGGCAAAAAAGGGTTTTTGCACGAAAAAGGTGCGTGTCAAAATGATATGAAAACAGTTTCTTTACAGCTTTATGGTTTTGCTTAATGGACCGGTACAGAACGCTTTGTTTTGCTTAATGGACCGGTACCGGAATGTTTGCGTTTGGTTCATGGCAAGGAACTGCCGGTTCCCAAAGGTTGGAACTCACGGTTGCCAACGTGGGAACCACAGGTTACCATTGCAAGGAACTGCCGGTTCCCAGAGGTTGGAACTCCTGGTTCCCAACCTGGGAACCATGGGTTACCATTGCAAGCAACTGCCGGTTGCCAGAGGTTGGAACTCATGCTTCCCAACCTGGGAACCATAGGTTACCATTGCAAAGAGCTTCCGGTTCCTAAAGGTTGGAACTGACGGTTCCCAACGTGGGAACCAAAGGTTACCATGGCAAGGAGCTGCCGGTTTCCAGACCTTGAAACTTACGGTTCCCAACCTGGGAACCAGAGGCTACCATTGAAAGGAATTGCCGGTTCCCAGAAGTTAGAATTTATGTTTTCGAAGCTAAGCGGCTTTCATTGTAAGGAACTGCCGGTTGCGAAAGCTTGAAACTCATGGTTCCAAACCTGAAAAAGCATACGTTACCAGTGGAAGGATCTGTTGATTGCAAAAAGTTAAAACTCATGGTTCTTAATGTTGTTTTGTTTTGTTTACTGAGCCGGTAACAGAACCTTTTGTTTTGCTTAATGGACCGGTAGCGGAATGTTTGCGTTCGGCTGTTGGGCCGGCATAAAAATGTTTTTGGACGAAAAAGGTGCATGTTAAAATGAAATGAAAACAGTTTCTTTACAACTTTATGGTTTTGCTATGGACCGGTAAAGAACGCTTTGTTTTGCTTAATGGACCGGTACCGGAATGTTTGCGTTTGGTTCATGGCAAGGAACTGCCAGGTCCCAAAGGTTGGAACTCACGGTTGCCAACGTGGGAACCACAGGTTTCCATTGCAAGGAGCTGCCGGTTTCCAGAGGTTGGAACGCATGGTTCCCAACCTGGGAACCAGAGGTTTACCATTGCAAGCAACTGCCGGTTCCTAAAGGTTGGAACTTTCTTTGACTAACTCTTTCCCTGACATTCTAAAAGTCCGTAACACGGAAGTTTCTCCCCCTAAACTTCCTTTGATAATAATTATTTACATATATACTTACAATAAATAAATATATATATATATACATATATATAATTATAATATATATATAATGATATTATATATATATAAAATGATATTATATATATATATTCTAATATATATATACATATATGTTTATTTATTCATTTGATTATACTGTATATTTATATATGTATAACTGTATAACTATAATATATAAATATAATTCAAATATATATATATATATTCATGTAAATATATATATATATAATTGTACATATATATATATTCATGTGTATATATACATATGTATTCATGTGTATATATATATTCCTGTATATCTTGTATATATATATATTCCTGTATATCTATACATGAAATATATATATATATATATATATTTATATTCATGTATATCTATATATATATATATATTCATGTATGTATATCTACATAATATGCGTACTGTAAATTTACAAACTTAAATCTGACATGGATTGCTTTTAATTGGAAAAAATAAGGGTTAAGACCCTTGCTCTCTCTCCACGAGCTACAATGGTGTCCTATAAATCTTCCCTTTATCCAGTTCTTGGAAATGAATGGAAATGATGGGTTTCAAGATCTTGGGCCATGTTTGGGATCTCACCAAAGATGGATGGCCAACAAGAATTCCGGGAAAGTGTAAGTCATGAGTTTCCGTGTCATAGGAATCCCAGATCGATGGCTATCCCCCCAAGACTTGGGGTTGATCATACAGTACACTGCACACATTGTTTTCAATGTTCTTAAATGAATCATGTGCATGAATCATGTCAAGGGCTGCAATCCCTGAGGGGAGAGGGAGTCTGACTGACCTGCTAAGTTGAGATCGCCGGAAGCTGGGGCATGCTGCCTTTTGGCCACGTCACGCCAAAGCTGTACATCCCAGGCCCAATGCCGCCTTGGGATTTTCTGTGCCGTTTGCTGCGTGCTCCCTGGTCTCGAGCATGGGGCTTCAACATTGGCCGCACTTCATTCATTGCGAAACGCTGGCAGACTGCTGCCATGCTGTGGCTTCAGTTCTGGCAGCGACTGCTGCCATGGCTGCCACACTCTGGGCCCATCAGTTGGCCTGGCCATTGGTCGGCTCCGAAGTTGATCCATCATCTGGTCCATCAGCGGATCTCTCTTGCAGGGCCAGTCAGAAGGCAGCTGCCCAGACTCAGGCTAAGCTGCATGGATTGAACTCCACCAGCACGTTCAGAAATGAAGTGGCCCAGTGCCAGGATGACAGCGCGATCGGCAGGACAATGTTTGGATGATTGTTTCCTGATGATTGAAAACCTCCCCGACTCAACAAGGATCCCTCAACAATGTTGAAGTCAACCAATGAGATGGGTGTTGCGTGATCCCATCATCATTATGTAGGGGTTTGTTACAGACAAGCACTACTAATGTTTCTGCTGACAACAACCCCCAAAATGTTTCTTCATCGGGAACCAGTTCGTGGGTGAAATCAGCAGAAAAGATCAAAGATTTACTTTGGCCAGAAGTAAATCTTTGTCCGCTGAATCTGAGATTTGCCTGGACACCACCTACCTACTGCACACACTTGCTCAGAACAAAGGTTACCATGGCAAGGAACTGCCGGTTCCCAGACCTTGAAACTTACGGTTCCCAACCTGGGAACCAGAGGTTACCATTGCAAGGAATTGCCGGTTCCCAGGAGTTAGAACTTATGTTTTCGAAGCTAAGCGGCTCTCATTGTAAGGAGCTGCGGGTTCCCAAAGCTTGAAACTCATGGTTCCAAACCTGAAAAAGTAACGTTACCAGTGGAAGGATCTGTTGATTGCAAAAAGTTAGAACTCATGGTTCTTCATGTTATTTTGTTTTGTTTACTGAGCCGGTAACAGGACCTTTGGTTTTGCTTAATGGACCGGTAGCGGATGTTTGCGTTTGGCTGTTGGGCCGGCATAAAAATGTTTTTGCACGAAAAAGGTGCAGGTCAAAATGATATGAAAACAGTTTCTTTACTGACGGGATATAGGGTTCTCACTAGTTGCTACGCCAACCTTTGGCTCAAGAACACCGCTGCTAAAATAGCGAGTTGCATATTCTCCGTTCATGGTAGCGGAGCGATACGCTCCAGGGTCTTAGCAATGGACCAACAACAAGCGGCACAGGTCCTCCAGTCGCTCCAGGAACTACAGACCGAGGTCAATCGACTAAGAGGCCGAGAAGCTGAACTGACAGCACAGGTCGCTTCTTTTGGTGCCGGTTCGGCTGCTTCAGCTGGACCTGGCAGTGCACTGGCACAGTTGGTGCAGTCACAAAAGGAGCTTGTGGACGCCCTTAGATCGAAAGAACAAGTCCGGTTGGTCGACAACAAGGGCCTTGGCAAGCCCGACAAGTTTGATGGGACAGCCGAAAGATTCTTGTCATGGAAAATCAAGACGTCCTCCTATCTTGCAAGTGTTCGCAAAGACCTTCGTGAGATTCTGGTTTGGGCCGAAGATTGCGATCATGCAATCACTGCAGATGACATCGACAAGGCTTTTGGGAGTCAAGCAGATGCCATTGACCAGGTGTCGAACATCAGTGAATTGAGACGCGAGCTTTGGGACGCGCTGCTAATGCTGACAGAGCGTGAGCCCTTTGACATCGTGCTGAACACCGGGGAATGCGGCATCGAAAGCTGGAGAAAGCTCACGCGGAGGTACGACCCATCCACTGGTGGTCGCAAACGCGCTCTCCTCAATGCAATCTTGTCACCGGCTCGATCCAAGATGGAAGATTTGCCGTCCAACCTGGAGAAGCTTCTTGACAGCATCAGACTTTATGAACGTCGCAAAGACGCATCTGGCAACCGAACGATGTTGGCAGAAGACATCAAGATCAACGTGATTGAACGATTGGTGCCGGCAGAGCTCGAGCGTCATCTCGTTCTCAATCGAGATCGCTTCAAGACGTTCGAGTCCATGCTGTCCGAGATCCAGTCCTATGTGGAACATGCCACCGGCAACAAGATCAAGGTGGTGAATAGCCAGCCCTACGACGCACATGGCCGTGGGGACGATCCTATGGATGTCGGAAGCTTTGGAAAAGATGCGAAGGGAAAAGGTAAGGGCAAGAAGGGAGCTGGAGGAAAACCTGGAAAGGGAAATGCAACAGCTGAGAAGAGAACATGTCACAACTGCGGACGCCCAGGACATCTGCGGGCAGATTGCTGGGCACCTGGAGGCCCCAAACATAAGGGGACGGGTGGCAAAGGCAACAGCAATCAGAATAAGGACAAGGGCAAGGGCAAAGGCAGCCCCGGAAAGCACAAGCAGAAGCCCAAAGGAGGCAAATCTGTGAACAATGTCGAACAAGGTGAACCAGAAGCAGAAGACTGGGACGCAGCTGATGGCGACGATGGTCAACAAGCAGCAAATGGTTTAACGCTCTATGGTGTTGATGGGCCACCACATGACGAGGATGACGACGAAAGTTTCCAGGTCGATCCCGAGTCCGAGGAGTCGGAAGCCTCGACAAGTCGCAGAAGGTGGTTTTCTTTGCCTCACCCACGTGCGTCATGGCCTGAAGAGTGGGACGACCCCGACTATGATGGACCGAGTGGATCGAGTGGCTCAAGACCCCTTCGGTCGCTTCGACTGGAGGAGGTCACCGAGCACGAGACCACTACATCCAAGTCCGCGTCTTCCAAGGCACCTCGAACGCCACAGGGAAGACCCAAGAGGGGCAGAAGTCCAAAGAGCTCAGCACCAAAGAGAGGCAAAGCAAGCAGATCAGGGCCAGTCACTCCGGAGTCAGCACTCCGACGCTTTCGAATGACTTCGATGACACCACCACCAAGGAGAAGGTTGAGGCATGGGCCACAGACTCCAGAAGAACTTCTTCGTAGCTCTACACCTTTGCCAAAGACACCACCGACACCTATAGCATGGCCTGCATCACCTCCACAACAGCCGATAGCCTCGCCCAAGACTCCACCAGGACCACCACCAGGATGGCAAAGCCAAGTAGCTTCACCCAAGACTCCGCCATGTCCACCACCGGGATAGCAAAGCTCTCAGGTGAAGCCACCACCACCTGTCAAGGCATCATCGGCAGCTTCGACTTCAGGTTCTCGACTTGTCCAGATGCTGAAGGCTGCGCTGAGTTCACAAATCCGCAAAGTCCAAGAAGAAGATCCTGGTTCAGGAGATGGCCAGGCAGATGCGATGTTAGCGGCTTTGAGGACTAGATCTGTCAAGGCACCGCACATCACAAAGCAGAACATCAGCGATCCTTCTTTCCACGACTCGAGATACCATGCCGAGATTGCCAAAGGTGTTGCACACAATGTGGCCTGGAGAAATGAACGTTTGAGAAGACGTGCAATCGTCCACCGACGAGGAGGAGTCAAGGCACGTGCGGCTGAAAGGATTCGACTTGACAAAGAATGGCATGAACGCTTTGACAACCCAGAAAATCCAGAAGGCATAGTGGGAATCGAGGATGAAGACAACTTGGATGCGGGCATCGAGACGGTGGTTGTGGGCAAAGCTGGTCAGAGCACAGTGATAGAGTTTTCAGCGGAAGAGCGGAAAACCTTGAGGCAGTTCCCGGACGACGAGGCCAAGTTGCTGCAGAAGGACCCCAAGAAGAAACCCATGACCAAGCGTGTTCGAAGCGTTGGGTACAGGGTGAAGAAGAATCGCAACCGCAATGTGGCGCGCAAGATGGCGAGGAAGAACCGACCAGCCTTGGTTCTGAAGGAAAACACTGAAGTGAACGCAGATGAAGATGATGATGAAATGGAAGAGGTCTACATCGAAGAGCCTGATGAGCCTCGAGACCGACCAGGCAGAGGAGACCCCGATGGTGGAGCTGGATCGGCTCCTGCTGCAGTCTACAGCTTGGGGGCCTCTGACGACTGGCGAAAATGGGAACGAGCAGAGTTGAACATCGACACCGGTGCTGCCATCACTGCAGTACCACTTGACTTCGCCAAGGACTACCCGAGGAGCGAGTCCAATGGAGCAAGCTACAAGGCAGCCAATGCGGAACCCATCGAAGATCAGGGAAGTGTGAAGCTGGTGGGATACGACGAATCTGGCAACAAGATCCCAATCGATTGCCGAGTTGCAGATGTGCATCGGCCACTTCTTTCAGGTTCCGAGATCGCCAAGAACTACCACATCGCCCTTGGACCATCTTCGGGGAGATTGATCCCAAGAAACACTCCTGCGGGACGGGCCTATTCGAAGGCCATGAAAGATCTGATCCGAGATTATGGCGATTCAATGCCCATTGTGCACAATCGCCGAGGCATCTATGTGTTGGACTATTGGGTGTCACCTTTTCAGGGGCATCCTCAAGAGGAGTAAGACCACAAATCAACGCTGTTGGCGAGGATCCAGCTGTTTCAGCCGGAGCCGATGCCATGGAAGATGGAGGCGATGTTTCAGCCGCTTCGGCCGGAGCAGGGTCCTCAGGCGATGTTCCAGCTGCTTCAGCCGGAGCAGATGCCTTTGAAGATGAAGTTGATTTGGAAATCGGTGAAGAACAGAGGAAAGCCATTGTGAAGAAAGAACCACATCAACCATCCCAAGCTGAAGTTGACGAACATGAAAGCACTGGACATGTTGTCCATCGGAGCTGGTGCTTGCACTGCAAAAGGGCACGTGTGACTGCTGATCGCCATGTGCCTAAGGAACTTGATGAGCCAGAAACGCAGTTGCCCACGCTGAGCCTGGACTACTTCTATATGAACCAGGACCAGGTTGCGGATGAGGCGACCCTTCCGAGCATTGTGGTGAAGTGCCACAAGACCAAGAGATTTTGGGCGAGCGTTCTCCCGGGAAAAGGGGCGGATGCGTTCGCAATCGCGTGGCTTGGGGGAGTTTTGGATGATGCTGGTTTTAATAAGGTAATCCTTAAGTCTGACGGTGAACCCTCCTTGGTATCCCTTAAACAGAAGGTTAAGGAGATAAAGACCCACATCGAAGTGCACTTGGTGGAAACCCCAGTAGAAGACCATCAAGCCAATGGGTTTATCGAAGTGGGAGTGCGAGAGATAAAACGACAATGTCGTGCTCTCCTCAGCGACCTGGAGTTCAAGCTGGAAAGGAAGGTAGATCCGGGCCATCCACTTTTGGTTTGGCTCCCGCGGCATGCTGCCTTTCTCTTGACGAGATACCGAGTAGGTACTGATGGAAAGACCGCTTTTGAGCGGACCTATGGACGAAAATGGCGGATTCCGCTTGTGAGGTTCGGTGAAAGCATCCTGTATAGGCCGAGGGCCAATCGTGGGGGCAAGAGAAATGACCTTGCTCCAAGGGTATCCATTGGGATGTACGTTGGAACTGGAAACAGAAATTCAGACGTCTTTGTCATGACGGAACGTGGAATCATGAAGGGGAACTCGATCCATCGACGCCCACCTGACGATCAGTTCAAACATGATCAGTTTGACTCGCTACGTGGCCTTCCTTGGAGGTTGCAAGAACGAGAACATGGTGGACTGAGGATCGCCCTTCCCGATGTTGCAGCGCCTCGTGAAAGGCCTGCAGTGCAAGAAGTGATCCCAAGGAACCTCTATGTCACCAAGAATGACTTGGAAAAGCATGGGCACACACCTTTGTGTCCTGGATGTGAAGCAGCAATACTTGAGATGCCAAGCCGAGCTCACAATGCTGAGTGCAGACAAAGAATCCAGATCGAACTTGACAAGACTCCAGAAGGTCAAGAAAGGATCAAAAGAGCGAGAGAGAGAGTTGCACAAGGCAGGCGCCCAAGAGGCGCGGCTGCACCGCCTGAGGGTGGTGGGGCAGAAGGTGGTGAAGCTACACCACCAGTTGTCCCAGGAGGGGAAGTTGAACAACCAGTCTTGCAAGACCGTGTTCCTTTGGATGCGGAAATGGATGCAAGTGAGGCTGTTGGTGAACCACTGGTCGACACCGATTTTCGTGGAGAACTCAGACAGAGAGAACAAGAAAGAGAAGGAAGCCCAAAGAGGCAGAAACAAGAACAATCCCGAGGAGAGAAAAGGAGTTCACAAGTCGACGTTGAAGATCTTTACAATGAATCTTCAGCTCAGGCTTCAGGGTCAGCCGGACCACCGGCACCGGATGCTTCATCTGGTGTTCCGGAAGGTGCTGCCGCTGCACCAACAAGTCCTGAGACAAGCCAGGAGATGCTACATCTGTGTTCCTTGCTCAAAGATGTGATCGCAAAAGGGAAGGTTGCTGAGATCTTCTCTCCACCGCGTGTGGCTGCACAAGCCCAAGTGGTCGGGCTAGCACCTGGCTTCTCGATTGACTTGGAGACAAAGCGTGGTGATGGAACTCGCTGGGACTTGAGTAAAGATGAACACATTCGTGATCTGTTTCAACTGCTTGACTATGAGAAACCAGAGTTCCTCGGCGGCTCACCTCCCTGTGGGCCATTCTCGAAGCTGCAAAACATTGTGGATGCGAAGGGCAATGTTTCACCTGAAGTTCGAGCGCAGAGACTAAAAGATGGTCGCAAACATCTGCGCACGGCAGTTTCAGCGTATGAGCATCAAATGAATGCTGGAAGGTACTTCTACCATGAGCACCCTAAAGGGGCCGCTTCGTGGGAAGAGAGAGCTGTGAAGAGACTGAGGGCAGATGAACGGGTGTATGAGGTCACTGGACCAATGTGCCGTTGGGGAATGAAGGCCGCCGATGGCCAAGGTGAAGGGTCAGTGAAGAAAGAAACTACCTGGCTCACGAACTCTCCAATCCTGGCACAGACCCTACAAGGGTGCTGTTCAAACAAAGAAGGCAAAGTTTGGCACCGCCATGTACATCTTGTTGATGGACGAGCCCGAGCTGCCCAGAAATACCCACCAAAGCTTGCCCACGCAATTCTCAAGGCCATTAGGCGCCAACTGGAATGTGATGGAGAACTACACTCACTTTCACATGGCCCAGTACCCGATGCTGGACCTGTGATCAATGAAGAGGAGGAGTTTTGGAAGCAGCTGCCCGACAGCGATGACACCATCGTGGAGCCAGTGCTTGACGCACACTCCGGTGCTGTCTTGGATGTTGACAAGGTCAGAGCTGCTCGACAAGAAGAACTAGCATGGGTACACAAACAGGGTATCTATATCAAAGTTCCACTCACAGAAGCCCAACAGTCTGGAAAACCGGTCATCACCATGAAATGGATTGACAGAAACAAAGGGGATGCAACACACCCCAACTACAGGTCACGTCTGGTCTGTAGAGAGATCAAACGGGCCAGCAATGCTGACTTCATTCCGGACTATGCGTCCTTCAGTTCGATGCCGCCTTTGGAATCGCTGAAATTGCTTCTATCGCTTATGGTGACTTTGAGACGATCCAAGTCTGGCAATGCACTGAAAGTTCGTCTTCTTGACATATCACGCGCTCACTTCTATGGAGAGGCAGAGCGTGATATCTTCGTGCAGTTACCTGAAGGAGATCGACAAGAAGGGTTTTGTGGCAAGCTCGTTAAGAGCATGTATGGAACACGCGATGCATCAGCGATCTGGCAAAGATCATATACAGAACTTCTCATCCGAGCTGGTTTTGCCAAGAATCAAGCTTGGCCATCCTGCTTTTACCATGAAGGTTACGGTGGTATTCGAGTTCTTGTACACGGAGATGACTTCGTGGTGCTTGCTGATGATGCTGGACAGAAATACCTTGAGGACACCTTGAGGTCCAAATATGATCTGCGGGTCGATGGATCGATCGGTCCTGGAGAACGGCATCAGCAGTTCGCAGTGCTCAATCGAATCGTGACCTACAACGAGCAGGAAGGCTCTGTATCCTATGAGGCGGATCCCTGCCACGTTGACCAGATGGTACGAGATCTAGAAATGGAAAACTGTAAGCCAGTCAAGACACCATCTGAGAAAATGTCAGCCACGGAGGCCAACTTGAAGTTGACCACCCCGACCATCACACCGGACCGTGTAAGTTTCTTCCGGTCTCTGGTGATGAGAGCGTCGTATGTGGCACAGGACAGACCTGACATCGCGGAGGCAGTGAAATGCCTATCAAGAAGAATGCATGAGCCCAAAGAATCTGACTTTCAGGATCTGAAACGCTTGGTGAGATTTCTGAAAGGGAAACCACGTGTACTTTTGAAGTTTGGTCGCCAGAAGTTTGCTGACACGATCCACATGTACGTGGACTCCGACTTCGCTGGGTGTCTTCTTACAAGGCGCTCAACAAGTGGACTTGTGGCAACCTTTGGCCGCCACACGGTGAAGGCCTCGAGCACTCTTCAGAGCACGATCAGCTTGAGTTCCGGTGAAGCGGAATACTACTCGATCGTTCGAGGAGTTTCCATCGGAATGTCGCTACAGGAGATCTTGCGAGGATGGGGCCTACAACAAAAACTTAAAGTGCACACAGATTCATCCGCTGCGCTGGGAACATGTAACCGTCAGGGCTTAGGCCGCTCACGGCATGTTCAAACTCGCTTTCTGTGGGTGCAAGAAAAGCTTGCACTACATGAATTCGAACTGGTGAAGATCCCGACAAAGCAGAACGTAGCTGATTTGTGCACCAAAGGTTTACCTGCGAATGAGATGGAAAGACACATGCAAAGCATGGGGTTCGAGTACTCTCATGGTAGAGCCGAAGCTGCAAAGGCTTTGGAATGAGTGTACATCAGCTTAGGAAAATCCCAGCCTCTGTACAGGAGGGGTGACGGGATATAGGGTTCTCACTAGTTGCTACGCCAACCTTTGGCTCAAGAACACCGCTGCTAAAATAGCGAGTTGCATATTCTCCGTTCATGTACAGCTATGGTTTGCTTAAGGACGGTGTCAAAAGAACGCTTTGTTTTGCTTAATGGACCGGTACCGGAATGTTTGCGTTTGGGTCATGGCAAGGAACTGCCGGTTCCCAAAGGTTGGAACTCACGGTTGCCAACGTGGGAACCACAGGTTACCATTGCAAGGAACTGCCGGTTCCCAGAGGTTGGAACTCCTGGTTCCCAACCTGGGAACCAGAGGTTACCATTGCAAGAAACTGCCGGTTACCAGAGGTTGGAACTCATGCTTCCCAACCTGGGAACCATAGGTTACCATGTCAAAGAACTTCCAGTTCCTAAAAGTTGGAACTGATGGTTCCCAACGTGGGAACCAAAGGTTACCATGGCAAGGAACTGCCGGTTCCCAGACCTTGAAACTTACGGTTCCCAACCTGGGAACCAGAGGTTACCATTGCAAGGAATTGCCGGTTCCCCGAAGTTAGAATTTATGTTTTCGAAGCTAAACAACTATCATTGTAAGGAATTGCCGGTTGCGA